AGCACGTGTTTGCTAAGTTGCCATTGGTCACTCCTTTTATTAGCAATTTGACGTGTTTGACAGCTGTCGTCTGCATGAAAGTGAGATTCGAGGCCAAGGTAACCAGAGGTTTTTCTCTCTCTCCTCGTCGCTTTCGCGACTCGTTGTCGCCGCTTCGCGGCTTGCTGTTGATCTCTTTCGCGAAGAAAAATCAAGAAAAACCTTTGGGACCAGGGTAAACATCTCGCCTCACTTTGCCGAATTTACGGGGATGAAATTGAAGATCATAAGCGCAAGGTATATACTTCGCGGTTTGTTTCTGAAATTCACCAAATCTGAAAAGATTTAATGTCGTTGGATTCTCCAAATGTTCATCCACCTTTAAAAAACAATCAAAGAAAGAAGGCAAATTGCAAGTGTAAATGATGTATTTCGCTACTCATTGAACATGTACTGATTATCTGGGATAAAAATTAAAACATTGCAGGTACTACAGCAAGCAAAGAAAGCACCAGATGCGTGAAGTCAACACGAAACAACACAAAAAAACAAACAAGAAAAATTAATAAATTTAAACTAAATTAAAATTGAAACTCTAACCTAAACATTTAGTGGAGAACAAGCGGTACCTTATGCTGAAATGCCGCTTGTTCCAATCATTTTCTCTAGGGGGTAGAATATGCTCTCGAAAGTTCATGATTTTGATTTGATATTTGCCGCTTGTCTTTATACATTAAGAACGCATACATTTTTATTGATTTTCTGTGGCTTTTGTTCCTGGCCGGCAGGATTTGACCTCTGATGCGATGGAGCATTTTCTTTGACCTCTTTTTAAACGTAAAGCGCGCTGTTCTTTTTATTGCGGCTAAACAATCCTTTAATAGAGGTTCTTGGTTCCCCATTGTTCTCCAAAATGCCCTCTAGATGTGAATAGGTGAGACTTTCTTTTGGCCTTGAATTTGATGATTTCTGCAACGTGTGTAATCTTTTGTCACGCTGGGCTCAGTTGCAGGATGTTACAATTCTCACGGATAGTGATTTACAGGTCTAAGTTTAGAAGAATGAATTGCAGCTTTTCTGAAGCTAGATCAACAAGTATTTCACTGTTGACTCGGTCAAGATTGTTCTTTAAGCAGTGATAAACTCCAGTTTGTTTCTGTTGATCATATAATGTGTCTTCAATCTGGAGCGCGCGCGATGTTATATAATTCCTCCTCTGATGTCACACGACTGTTCATAATAAATCTTTTAGGTCAACAAGTTGTGGAGTTTGTTTTAATTTTTTTAATTTCAGTTTATCTGAACAAAGAATCATCGTTAGTGCTCCTGATTTGTATAAGGATTTATTACATACGTTTCGACATAAACATACAGTAGAATTTACAAGTAAAATTTAGAATTCAGAAAAACTCGAGTATTCTTCGTGCCTTTTTTCACTCAGCGCTCACAAGTATGGGTAGCAGATGTATAAGTAAGTGAGAAAAAAAGAAGCACGGCAGTCGGGCAATCATTTTCCTATTAGGACAATCAGATGCTTCCTAGAATGTCTCAACCCGTGTACAATTAAAAATTTATTCCCTCTCGGTTGCACCCTCTAAACACACTGATCCAAAGTACTTTTACGTCGTTGTGCGAAACAAAATTCATCGCTGTCTTCACAACATTTGTACTTCGCGAAATAAGTCTCTCCTGGTTGAATCTTGAACTTTGTACTCAGCAGTTGTTATCGGGATCAGGCTTAAAAACATCACAAAAATCTTCCAGTGATCAAAAACGCCTACGCTTAATCAAGATGGACGGTAATTGATTCCACCAACAAGGGGAACATTTTAGCTTCTAACTAAATGCCAGAATGCGTTAAAGCAGATTAACATTAGTTCTATCGGACATCGCGCAGTTAACACTTATGTCCGATGAGATGATGAGATCGAGCTAATTTGTAGCTCTTAAGCTGTTTCAAAGAATCCCTGAATATACTGAATATACTTTTAAAAAGATAATATGAATATACTTTTAAAAAGATAATTTTTACACGCCTCCTCCCCCCGCTCCCTAATGGTAGGAAGTGTTTAGTCCACTAAATATTAAACTTAGTGGCTTTAAAAACCAATGAGATTCGAATGTACATGTAATATAGATTTAGCCAGGGCTAAAAGCGAGGCTCTCGATAATATTTATAGTTTACTCAAAAAAAATATAAAATCTTGTAATGCTAAAGCGGCGAAGGCAACGCCGGAGAACGGTGAAAAACAACAATAGGTCTAATTAGCAAAAAAGCAACTTTGCATGTGCAGCACACTTTTTTTGTACATTTCTTTGCCGTTGTTTTTCACGACTACGACGTGAAACTTTGTTTTTTATCTCTCGCTTTAGATCTCTGTCGCCCTTTTTCTCGTTGAGCTTCGCAGGCCTGCCGCCTACTTTCTCTTTTTCTCGGTCTTTTTCTTGCTCTATATTCCAAATTTGTGGACTTGACAATTAATCTAAGCTTAATACTTTAGAAAACACGGATACAGAGACAATTTTCGCTTTCCGTTTTCGTAGTTGTCTCTGCTTCACAAGACGCGAGTAGCTATGCGACTTCCCTTCAAAATAACCTCGAGTTGCATTTGGGTTGCCATACCTGTTCACTTAGCTATTTTACATTGGTATGCCTATGGTGGTTTTAAATAAATAAAAATCGGTGAGCGATAAAAAAGATAGCCTGCGAATAAAGCCGACTCTAATCGCCACTTGTCTCTGAGGACGTTCACAAGGAGAGATGACGTGAAACGATTCAGCAACGGGGAGCAATGAAAAGCGGTCGTAGTCGCAGACTAAAAGATAAGGAAATATGACGAACTAACTCGATTGTTTCAGTGCTTTTTTGCTCCAAGTTTCTTTCCATCATTACACCTGTGGACTGCACTTGTGATACGTGTCTGCTTCCTGTACCGCCCTCTCTAACTCCTTTTTCTTCTCGTCAAACGGATGTCCGTTCCCTCCCATCACTACAATAGGCTGGGTGCGGTACGGCTGAATCTTTTCTACATTGAGCACGTGAAAGATAACACGATCCACTTCCCTGGGTAGCTTGTGACTCCAACGGTATGACAAGAAATCAGGAATGTCTTTCTTGCTGCCATTGTAGGTAAAGAAAGCTGGGATGAATTTCTGAGTGTCAGGATTCTTGGCGATATTTCCTCGCACAAAATTCAACTGGCATTTGATTTGCAAGGCTATAAATATATTAAATAAAATTATTGTTAAGAATTGATAGTGACGTTTAGTCCTACAGATACGAAAGTTGAAAGAGTAAATTAATTTCGTATTTTTCAAGCATTGTTACTGGAAAATGAGAGTGGACGGACCTAAGAACTAAGGAGCCATGTCACACATATTAGATGGATTCAGGTATGAACTGGCTGACCAATTGATTGAAATATGAAATTAACCAATTTTGAGCGGAAAACAGCGAGAGAATGTTCAAACACGCAGCTGACAGAAAAGAAGGCATGAGTGGACGAGAGCGCTAGCGTGGGAGTGAGCGGACTAAAATGAATTGCTAATGTTTTTTTCTTTTCGGAAAACTGTTAAAAAAACTGCTTTGAGTTAAAATACTCGGGAGTATTTGGTTGTTATCCAGCTGTCATTTTCTCACATACATGTGATATCTAACGCTAACGTTTGCGTCAGGCGATTGGCAAAACTAAGCAAAATCGATTATGTTGCCAGAAACGCGTTGCCCTAAAGTAAAGGACACTTGCCGCTGTACTGTTGTACTGCAGAAACACGCATAACAACATAACTGTACAGAAAGGAGGGTAGAATTTGTGATCATCGTGCGCCAAGCAATTTGTCCTAACTGTACAAAGAATTAGAAACAGTGCAACGCGTAAAATCCAACAGATTAACTTAGGGCCTGGTTGCGTGAGATTGATGTGATTTGGTCCGGGCAATCGAACCTGCGACCTTCCTCTCTGCAATCAAGCGCTCTACCGACTGAGCTGAACCTGCCGCGAAAGAGACGACTCAGACTGGTAGGAGTATGTAAACGAAACAGGTAAGATTCAGGACCACTCAAAAGCTTTCTATACTAATTCTTGCTTCTTTGAAGTAAAACCGGTCTGCAAAATCACCGCAGACGGGTTTGATTCAGCTATTTACAAGAGCCCCCGATCTGAATCAGTCATGTCGGTTTTCCTCGCGGAATAACTCCGAATAAGTCAGAGATGTCGGAGATTCGATTTCCGATCTAAGTCAGCTCCTAAAACACTTGTCGATAAGTTTGCTAAAATCAGTACAAAACATTATCATAATACGCTATAATCTACAAGGGAATGTTGTAGAAGGCACAAGTGTAATAACTGGACCCAAGTGTAAGTAAGCTCCCATCTGTTAATACCATTTGTACCAAAGCGTAATAAAGGTCTCATCTGTAATGACCTTTGGTCCCAGCAGAGATAATAAGAGACATGTCCCCAAGTCTTTTTCGAAACCTTAACTTATTACGCTGACGTCACGGTTCACGTAACCAGGCTACTTGAAACGGGAAAAAAGTACCAACGAATCTTGTCAAGGCTCTCGGCTTTAGATTTGGTAATTACTGGCTATGATACGTGCTTTCGAAGAAATCGTACCCCTAGGACAAATAAATGGCATTCGCTTTCGTTTCGATTAAACCGGGGGAGGGGGGAGGTAACTCTATTGTTTTCCACCTAGGTTTCTTAACCTACTCCGCGTGCCAGTATGACGTCACATAGTAAAGGGCAAGACCCCTTGGGTCGCTTGTGCAAATTAGCAACGGATACGACAGATATTTGGACGAGCGAGGTCGAGCAAAAGCTAAGAATCTAGCAAATATCGCTTTATATCGCTTATTTCACCGAATGTGTGTGAGCTTTGGTGTTGCTATAATCTGCTTGTGTAAACCGTTTTGATATTTTGTGTCCGTGATTGTTTAATTAATTTTGTTTTGCGGGCCGTGTTGCGGGATCGCCATCTATTTCACGGGACTGGCAAGGTCATCAAAACTTATAAATCTTTTTTCCCTAAAATTGGCAAGGTCTAGTCTCCAGAATAGGAGGTTCCATTCACAGATCACACATAATTATATTTCATCTATTCTTTTGCTAATTAAACGGGCCTAACTTCATATCATCCCTTTCGAGTGCCTCTGTTGATAATCTAATTCTCCACCAAATTCAGTAAAGCTACAGTACAGTAGTTCCATCGATTATCTACATCGAGTCGGCCCGTTGAGCTTGAAATAATGCGAAATAGCTTTGAAATAAGCAATTAAGCTAATTTTCCTCAAATGTATATTTGAATTTATGATAAATACAGCTCCACCAGCTTCAAACAGCGTCTATGGTAGAGAAAAATTGTTTTGTTTTGATATGACAAAATTAAGTTTTCAAATCATGTGTCACTGTGGTGCAGTGGTCAAGGAGTTGCATAAACGTGCAGATAAACCGGGTTCGACTCAAGGAGACGCTGTTTTCTGTTTCTTTGTACCGTTTTTTTTCTGTTTGGTCTCTTTTTTTTAACAGTATTTTTCCTTTTGGCCTTTTTTTCTTTATTCTTACTGTTGACCCTGCTGGTCATGCACTTGGATCAATTTATATTTTAAGCTGAAGTCCGGAGTTTTATTTTGGAAAAGGGATTTCAAAAGCTCTTGATCTGCATACTGGCCAAGCTTACCACCAGAAAAAAAACCATAAGCTGTAAAGACATGTCCCTCCTCTGTAACGGCTGAATTTTTTTCAGTGTTAGTTGACATCATGACAAACAACACACAGTGCATCACAAACTGTCCTAATTTACACCCAACACCCACCAGTGACCCACTGGCGAAAGTTAAACTTGCCTTTTGTACATCTTCTTAATCATCAATATTATTACCCTAAAATCTCCACTGGGTTTGCCCCCAAAAAATAATTACACGAAACCTTTTATTGGTTTTCCGGATTTAATTACAGAATTACAGTACCCAATACAGTATTAAAATGCGGTAAAGCAACTAGATTCAATGCTCACGGTCTCTCACAAATACCTGTCATTTAGCTTCCTCTTTCAATGCTACAGCTAAGCGAACTTTGAGGGGAATGATATGGGGTTCCACTAGGCCTGAAGAGCTGAAAATACGCACAATGTAAAGTATAATACATCCTTTGATGAACCTCCTATTGCTGTGTCTAAACTCCTCAATCTTGCTGTGCACTAGTACTCAAAAGTATGACCGGTCGCTACGATTACCCGTAAAATGTGCTCGACAATAGAAGGGAATCTTGAATCGAAGTTTTTAGCCTTCTTTTCGATGAACACTTTGCTCGCCATTTTGAAAGTTACGTGCGTGAGAAGTGACGTCATACTGGTAGGCGGACTATACCACAGATGTTCCTTGGGGACACCACCCCCGCACGTCGCCAAGGATACGAATACTTGAACTTTTGAAATAAACTTTTGTTAACACTACAAGAAATTAAACGAATCTAAGTCAATGTTTGCTTCAACCACGTTTTTTTCAAGTCCCTGTTTCTTTTTTACTGAGTAGCCAAGCCTCCTTTCAAGCCAGGCCCTCTAGCTAGTTTCCAGTTCTCTGCGGAAACTCCGCGACACCGCCCCCCCCCCCCCCCCCCCCCCCCCCCCCACCATTTTTCACCCTTCGCCTTTTTTTTTTTTTTTTTTTTTTTTTTTTTTTTTTTTTTTTTTTTTTGTTTTTTTTTTGTTTTTTTATTTTTTATGGTTTGTTTTTTTATATTAAAATTATTAAATTATGTGTGTTTTTTAAATTATAAAAGGAACAAACAAACCACCGCCACACCACACCACAACACACCACGCCTCCCTCTCTTATACAAAAAAAACTCCTTCCCCTCCCGGCGGCCTTCCCGTCCTTTTTTTCAGCCCCCTTTTTTTTTTTTCTTGGCGCCCCAGCCCCCCTTCCGCCCCCGCCCCCCTCCCACTTTCCCCGTTCCCCGGGGAAACCCCCGACCCCCCCCCCCCCCCCCCCCACCCCCTGGATTAAACAGTTTTTCACCCAGTGGAATTTCTTTTTATTATTTCTCTCATTTTCAGTACTTAACTTACGGCTGAATTTATTGGTAGGATTTCATGAGCGTCAGTATTTGTAGATAAGAAGTACCTTTAAAATTGTGTCTGAAATTTAATGAAGCATATGCCGTTGTTAAATACAAATTACAGTTGAACCTCTATTAATTTGTCACCCTCGGGGTACCCGCAGGAGGTCGCTAAATGGAGGTTGACCGCTCAATAGAGGTTCTCTAGCTTCGTCATAAATTAGTATAATCTTTAGCGGAAACATCACCTTATTTTGAAACAAACACTGGACGGGAGCAGCATTACTGGTCCATAGTTGGTCGTCACCTTCTATACTGGACTGTATTTTCCTTCATCATATTCTTGAAATAAAGCCAAACTAAGAGTTGATAGACTTAGTTTGGCTGTAGAAGTGACGCTTAATGGCCGCAATAACAATGGGAGAACTCTCGTTGGGACGGCCAAAAGGTGGCCGTAGCCGCTTATAGAGGTTTTAGTTCCCATTCTTTTCTATAATTATTTCGGGACTTGATATACTAGCAGCTTAATAGAGGGTGGCGACTACAGGTTCAACTCTACACGGCTTACAAAGAAAAGAGAAAAAAAACAATTGACAATTTCCTTAAATCGGAATCGAACTTTTGAAGATAACGTGAGAATTTCAACGTTGTAAGAACACAATTCACTCCCGTAACAGAACAGTAAAGCAGTGCTGAGCACAAATTTTCTTTGGTTAAATCTCTAAGTAGCAACGGCCTTAAATGCTCTTGGTTTTTGGCCATCTCAGTTTTACAAAAAGGAATAACACACAAAATGCGGTTACAAACATCAGAAATAAGAAACGCATTGTATAACTGACTTTTATAATATCGAACTTGACGTTTTGTAGGCTCAATCGTTCTCAATGTCTAAAGTTCTATATAAAGCTAGTTGTTGGGACTGTCAGGATATCTACTTTGGCAAAACCAAACGGAGATTTCATGACCGAAAAACTAAAAACTTCAAGGCAATCACCTGTAACGGTCATTCACCAGCTCTAGCAGAACACGTCACTTCAACTGGTCACAATTTGAAATGGGACCATTTTTACATTTCAGCAAGAGGAAAATTAGATACCCATTGTAAAATCAAGGAGACTCTCCTTATTAGGGATTTAAAACCAGCGAAAAGCTTTACTTATACTAGTTTGCATAATTTCATGCAAATTTTCTCATCTGTCACATTTATTTGTTTCTTCCTTCACGTTAATTAGTTACTTATCTTACCTTTGTTTTTTAAATTTAAATTTAGTTACTACTCATGTTAACGGTCACTTCTGAAGCTGTATGTTAAGGCATACGAAACGTAAAGTGGATATTATAAAAGTCAGTTATACAATGCGTTTGTTATTTCTGACGTTTGTAATCGCAGTTTGTGTGTTATTCCTTTTAGCAACGGCCTTATTTGTCAATGGCCTTTGGCGTTTACCTAATACTTTTCTAGCCACACTATTATGTGTGTATGTGTAGCTTGACAGTGACGTAGAGCCCATGACAATAAAATTAAATGGGAGGTGATGATTCCCGAAAGTCACGTGACTTTCCAGTATTTATCTTTTGTTCATCATAATTTGTTGTTGGCAAATTACCAGTTTGAGTATAAATTTACTTACTATTCATTCAAAATATTTCTCCGTTTCTGATTGGCTAAAATCCCACGCATAGTTCAATGTAACTAGCTATTTTCGACCAAATTTGGAAGAATTTTGCGATATGTGAACTGATGACGTCAATGGTGCAGCAAAATTGCCAGGTTATTGAACCGTTAACCGAGAAGACCTGGGAAGAAGTTGAGTTGTTTTGGTCGCGAGTACAGAAATGGCGGAACAATTCACTCGTTTTATGGGGAAGAAATAGGCGAACTAATTGCTACAAACACAGCAAGAACAGCAAGAAGACAAATCGACGGACGACGGTACATCTGCTATTTGGAGAATATTTGCGGAGCTGAACAACCTTTTATCTCCTACTTGCCGATTAACATGCACCATCGAAGATGAACTTAACATCGATGGAGGTGAGCATTTTTTAGCTTGTTTTTAAAATAGGAATTATTTTGAATGAACAGTAAAACAGTTATTGAATTCGGCTTAAGTATCATCTGAAGAATTATGGAGATCTCGGTGGGTGTTATCACCCTCCTCGATCTCCATAATTCTCCAGATGATACGAAAGCCGAATTCAATATTGATAATTATAACAATACGGTCTTACACTTATTACAGATAAGACCCTTATTACGCTTGGATTCAAAATGTTATTGCGGATGGGATCTTTATTACGCTTGGGCCAAAATGTTGTTACATATGGGACCTTTATTACACTTGGGTTCAGTTGTTAAGATTTTAAATTGTAATTTGTTTACCCACGGATTACTAAGGAGTTCATAAGAACTCGCTGAAACGTGTCCGTGCGTTCCAGATTGGAATTTGAAAGTATTGGTTAGTACACTTGTGCCTTCTACAACTGTTTTTCTGTCAAATTCTCCACTGAGAATTCTCCAAATTCTGAAGTGAAAAACTGAAAAATGCCTTCACTAGAATTGGTGTGTCTATTTGCAATTCTAGTCCACTTTCTTTTAAAACTCTCAAAAAATCTAATTTTCGTGAAAAAATAAAATCAGTACTCCTCAACGTTCTAGATCATGAAGGTATTTACACTAATGTTACTTATTTATTAGGATATTTAATGACAGAAGTAAACCCGATAATTTGTTGTATATACCTCTGCTTGTAATTCCAGTCTAGTTCAAATAACAAATCAGTGTACTTGATATTTAACTATAGCGAACAGAAGTAAACCTGATAATTTGTTGTATATACCTGTGGTTGCAATTTTAGTCTAGTTCAAATAACAAATCACTGTACTTGATATTTAACTGTTTCTTTCTGCTTGTTATTGTGTTTCTTTTCTCCTTGTAATATGTGTCTGACATCGTCTTTGTCTAATGTTTTGTCCCGCCTAGATTAGCATAATAGCTACTTGCGGGGCATACAATTCAAAAACGTACAACAACTTGTAAGCGATTTACTTTAGACACAAAGTAAAATGATGCTATATGATACAAAGGACAGGGGACTGACCATAACTTTAACAAAATTCTCCAATCTGATTGGCTGCTAGCAACCTTAATTTCATCCTTAATAGGACTGTGTAATTGGACAATGCACGTCATGATGCGCGCTGTCATTGGACACTTAAGCTTGTAGTAGGCAAGGTCATTTAGTTCCCTACTTCTTACGTTAATGCTATCATTTTTTTTCTAATCTCAGATTTTACTTTAGTTATTATTACTTAGCAGAAGACTACGTGTACTGTGTTCCTTTGAGTGTAACCATAGCAGTGATGAAACAAATCGGACAACAGCGTAAGTTGTTAAACTGAGCGTGTGGTCAGAGACCTAATTAGACACAACAATTTTTATAACCACCAATAATTCTCACGCGATATGTTCTGAAACACATATTTATAGTAGGGGGCTGATAAGCTTGGGTTATCTGTTAGTTTACTTACGGTCATCCCCTTCCTCCAGCAAGTTCTGACATCTGAGAGACATTTTGCGTGATCCAAGGACTATAACACAATCAGATGTCTTGACCTGCTCTTCGTACCAACGAGGTACGTTAGGTGAGATATCTAGCGTGTTCCACATGTCGATACTTGGCTCAATTAACTCTGTCGAACTTAGAACGGTGCCTAAGCAATGTAATACATGGTTACACTTCTCACAACATCTGGTGTGTAAAATTAAGACACGCTTCTTACCTGCAACATACAAGATTAAAAAGAAGTTACGCCACACTTACTACAAAATGTTTAATCATCTTGATTATTTCAGAAGGCTGTGTGGAGACAGACAACCTTTTACAAGTAAAATAAGAACATTGAAGGAGGCACGAGTGCATAATACTGTGTATAATGAACAAAAGCACTATTACAGCTTTAGCAAAGCATAAAGTTGCCTACCGGAATCATTACCAAGTAAAGGTTGATCAGAACTGGGTCTTGATGTTGACGGTTTTGGAGGATATGGCAGTGTTATACGCACTACAATAGAACCAAAGTAAAACAAACAAATGATTCCTGACTAAAAGGTTGGTTTCAAAAGAAACCGTAGTGCTGTGTCAGGTGGAGGTGTAAAAGAAGAATTTGATTTTACCCACTGAATTGATAAAGTCAGGAGTGTGCCACAGCGAATAGATTCAAATACGGAATCTGTTTACTGAGCAAATTGACCATTAATTATCAACTCAGTTAATTAACCTAAATTCACGTGATTTCTGACCTTCAGCAGAGCGGGATTGACAACAAAAGAAAGTCTAAAAACGTACACTACGAGTAGTCCCGAGTAGTCTGTTATAATTGTCAGAGAAAGTGAAGCTAGTGAAACACACAGACGAGAGGAATATCTTCTCTCTAGGGAGAAGTGACGGAGAATTTGTATGCGTAGCACGGTGCATAAAAACCAAATATGGTTTAACTTGAGGCCAACCATTTTTCTTTACTCTACAATTCTTTGAAAGATGAAATCATTATGTATACACCTTTCCCGCATCCACTCTAGTCAGCAAACACAGTGAAATGAGGCCAATGCTATAAGGGACAATTTCATACAAACCACTGTATTTAATCACCTCAAGCCTCGACTTGGTGCTTTGTTTAAAGGAACGTGGGAAAGAATCAAACTTCTGGGGTGAACATGGGGTAGAACATGGCAAAGGACGTGGTGTAGGCCATGGCGTATGGGTGGTCTAATTATTCAAAACACTAATAATAAAGAAAAAAACAATAACAATTGCTACACTAGCAATTATAACCACATTGTCATAGTAATTGCCCAGCTAAAAGGGTATATTCCTTTTCAAGTTAAGTGATTCTGTGTCTCTCGAGAAACCTGTAATATGGTAGCCATGCCATTCCCCTATGCCTAAATTACAGTTGTGTCATGTGCTGTTATGGCTGTTATGTGCTGACATCCTCTGATACACCGAATGCAAATATGGCGGACTGCTCGGCCGGCCCGGGTCTAGTTGCGCGAAAGCGAGGCTAGTGAGGCTTTTGACTGCGTGTCTTAGCGATTGAGTCAATCGATATGGTTTGCTTCGAGTTGTTACGTGCTTAAGAGTCATCAAAGAGGAGACCTAACTACCACAGAAACGAAAGTTGATTATCTTCCCTTTGCAAAGGTTCTTTACGAAGAAAGAAATGGATTCAAGCGATTCGGCGCGGCGAATGGAAGCACTTTTAATACTATCAAGGCGTCTAAAGAACGAAAGTGTGGTCGCTTCACTTTAGAAGACTAACGAAACCATTTGAATGGGATAATACCTGCAAGATGGTTCTGTTTCAAGTTCGCTTTGTCCGCTCCCATACCAAGGAAAGGTAAACATTCTCAAGAACGAGTGAATCCGCCGTAGTGACTTAACAATTCTTAGGAGCTCTCAGGGACACTTCTATGCATGAAATATTTACAACGAAACGTATAGACCGAATATTTTTCCAGTCTTCACGATCCTGTGTAAAAAAATTTGAGCAGTGCCATAAAAGTAGCAATTTTGGAAAACCGTTGTTAGTTTATATCGAACCCCTTGGACAAATAGATCACGCGCAAGGGCAATTACAATGCTCCAATACTGGCACGCTCTTTGCCCGCCAGAACCTTTCTCCCTCCTCGTACTTTCTTGGTTTGCGGAAGTTTTTCTGTTAGTTTTTTCAGTGCACTTCGATCAAAGGACTGTTCTTCAAACATGTCGCTTTCTTCTGGCTTTTACATGGTCTCACAGGCTACGCTTGTAGGATTAACAGGCGATTGTTATGTTGTGTTTTATTCACACTCGTCACTATTGTTATATTTTAATGCAGCTGTTTCCAGCGTGAAATCTAAAAGATCTTAAAGTCGACAACGGATGACCCTGTTTACGAGAATGTTAACCTTTTGTTGGATAAATAACAGACCATGCAAACATTATGGAACAGTACCATCTCTTACGAAAATTATTTCATTCACATACGTCCGTGAGTCCTCTTTTCAAAAGCAATTGAAGAAAGGACACTTGCGTTTTCACCGTTAAGTGCTTTCCATCTCCGCGCCGAAACGCACCAATCCTCAACGTTCTTTATGAAAAGAGCTCGGGAAAGTAAAGGTAGTTCCAGCTAAGGTAAAATCTCCTTTTTGGTGGCACTCAGGCACGCAACAACTCGAAGTAAACCATATCGATCGACTCAATCGCTAAGACGCGAAGTCAAAACAAAACTCTTGAGGCCTCACTATCCTCGCTTTCTCACAACTAGACCCGGGCCGGCCCAGAGGTCTGCCATATTTGCATGTCTCTCTTCTCCCTATTCCTAAGACGCTCCTGGGTGTACACAACTCGAATTTTATGAGGGAGCATTCTCCGGGTTGTTAAAATTTACAACACACATAAAGCACAAAATAGCAAAACCTTCTTACCTTGCTGGAAAAATATTCTGTAAACCACCAGAAGAGTACAAATAACAACGCCAAAAAAACTACCAAGGACAGAAATTAAAATTTTTGTAGTATTGTCTGCTGGGCGCGATGGCATATCACCTGCTGAGAAAGTAACAATACAGGAAGCGACGTAATTGGTATGATAACTGACGAGCCAAAGCCATTCGAAGAGACGCAAGACATATAAGCTACAATGGGATAATCCTATTCAAACTAAGAGCTGCACATCTATTTGACAATCGAGAAAGTCGATAAGAACAAGAAAAATCCAAAAATTGCAAGAAATAAAAAGGAAGTTGAAACGTCTGTCGAACTGCAGAAAAGTCTTTGTATTGTAACCATCACCACTGGCGTTTAAAGGACAGTCAGTTGTAAGCTTCTCAAAATCAATGTAGGAGGATAATTCTACAATCTTTATTAGCTGCGTATCGAAAAGTGCCCAAAAACTGATCCTAAAAAAAATCGCCGATATCTTCGCAGAAGTGATGCGTGTAACGTGAGAAGCATTTAAAAATAACGTGGGATGTAGTCTCAGGATCGTGTTTTGCGCTGATGTTATCAATGAAAGAACACTCAACAACAGACAGAGAAATTATTTCTCTGAATATTTTAATTCACCTTCTGAGCGTCAGATTTCACGTGTAGTTTCACGTGACTTTTCATGACCTTTGTTGTAAACAAACCCTGAAAGTTCGGACATCGTTCTCTCCCATATACTGTACTGGTACGAACTACGAGTCGCTATTTCAAGTTCCCGTTAACGTATTTATTTTCCATCGTTTCGCGGTTTGAAAATCGAATAGTTAGGGTTCAAAATGTCACAGCAGAAGACCAGGAGTGACTTTAACCGCCTCGAGTAAGGTAAAACAGAAAAAATATTCCCCGCAACATGGAGTTTCAATAAGTGCGTGGCATGGAAACCCCCTGTGCAGTTGAAAGAATAGTTTTGCCTGGTGGATCCAAACACACTTATAATTCATGATACTGCAGTGTGCTTCCATTTTCGTCCCGACCGGCTTTTATACGCTTAAATGTACGTAAGTTTATGTTTATCTTGCCTGAAGTAATAATAACAATAATAATAATAATAATAATAATAATAATAATAATAATAATAATAATAATAATAATGATGATGATTTATTAACAGATCCACTGGGTGGCTTTTCCCTGTAGACTGCCTCCGTTTGTCTCTACGCGATTAAATACAAACTAAGCACGTGTCCACAGAAGCCTGCACTTTTTTGCAACAGATATGTGAACAGCCTCTTGATTCAACTTAGCAGTTAGTAAATATTCAACATAACCGTCATCAAAAGTGTCCAGTCCCTGTTTGCCGCAATGTACAATTGAAAATATAATGTCAAACAACCAATAGCGGTCTTTATAAAGAAAATTAGAAAACTGGAAATTAATATGCGTGATCATGAATTTTGAAATGTGAATTATGTATGTGTATTATGAAATTTGCCCACATCACCGGTTTTATCTCTTTCGAAGTTCCAACTTTAAAACCATTTCAACTGTCGAGGCGGTAATTTCCACTACAAGCGATCCTCGTTCCTGCCGTTCTGTCATGCTCTTCGCCTAAAATCGCTCTTTTTCTTCTACTTAGACATTTTTGAATCTTAAACTTTTCAAGTTTCAAACAGCTAAAGGAAAATAAAATTTATAAACAAGACGTACGAGTGGTGAACCCGGCCTTCTTTTAGGGCATACAATGATACAGGGGAAAAATGTGCATTATGTATTAATGGCACTACAGCCCGTATGAAGTTTGATGATGAATAAATGGAAAAAAAATACTACCGGCTGGCAAATCAGAGTGGAAAGACTCGAACGTTCCAAAGGGGTGTACCCGACCATGACTGCATAACAATGTAATGCGTCAAATAGTTTTGTAGCTAGTTTTCTTTTCCTTTATATTAGGCATGAGCTTCGGCCACAATCTAAGGTTACGTAGTAAACTAATATTTTGAGGGCAAAAACTATGAAATAAAACCCTATATGAAGAGGAAGAGAACACTTTGGTTGAACAATAATATTATCATACCAGGATATTTTGGTTCCTGAAGTGATCATTGTACATGATGATCTCTATAAAGGACCGAGTAAGGGCCTGTTTACATGGAGGTGGGGGGCCCAAGGTAGGTGAGGTAACCCGCCTGTCCATATAATCTCTCATTTTAATGTGATCACGTTTACATGTTAGGCGGGGTGACCCACCACAAGTTACCGAACCCACCTGGGGTCCCCCACCTCCATGTAAACAGGCCCGAAAAAACCCAGATCTTCCCATGGGTAAGATCATCTTTGTTTCGATTTTACTGTCACTCTGATACAAGTTCATCTTCTCTGAAAAAAAAAAGAGTAAATAGATAAAGTATATGTCAATATTTCATTGCTTTTGTCATTGATTCAACAACAAGCAAAGAAGTAACCATAGAAAACACAAATCTATTCTGTGTACCGAAACCAATTTAAATACAGAATATTATATCCGATTTGTCGATCCTTTTAATTGCAAGTATAAGTGAACAGTAGCTGAACACAGCAAAGAGAAAAATTTCTAGCATAGATAATTATGAAATTTCTAATAATGATGGATCGATCAAAACGGAGTTTTGCAAGATCGAAATTCGATAGTAACCATCAAGTGTTCCTTTTTTTAAGAACTATAAGCTTACATGTAATCTTTGATTTAATTTAACAATGAAATGTTGTTTGATCGATCAAAATCGTCGAATTTTAACAACAAACTGCCGCTTCTGTGCAAGCTCGATACAAGTTTCGATAGTAAGTTTCTGTTTTTATACCGAGACAGCTAGGAAGCACGAGACTTGGACCAAGCACAAACGTCTGCGTTGACCAGTCAGATTTGTTTGTTTTAATAAATGAAAAGGCGCAGAAACGGTAATTAACTGCCACATTCCTGCAACTAGGTGCAAACTTTCCTATATTGCTAAATCAAAGCAATTGTCTTACCGTTTTGCGATAAAAACCATAAAGCATAAAATTTCTAAGGTATTTACAGTGACGTCACGTATATGGACGTGTTCATTCAGATCGACCAGTCAAGTTGTACAATTCATCGAAATTCAGGACAAAAAGGGCCCATACGTTTTACAAAACTGCTGCTTTCGTGCAACTCGGTGCACGCGTAATCACCAAAACAAAGCCCAATATATAAATATTATATAAATTCTCGTGACTTGCACTAAACATAAAAAGTGAAAATTACCCACCTGTTTACTGTTTTTTAGCATGTCTTCCTCTCGCGACCAGCGATCGCAACGCCGGTCTCCATTAAACGGATCGAGCCACTATGTTTGTCTGACAGTTCCAGGATGCATTATCCTCTAAACAACACATATCACTAAATATTTCGACCAAAATAATTGTTGAGCTCTCATAGAGACCACAAAACAACACCGTTAACCCTACCGACTGACAAAAAACTGCCTTTTCTTGTTTTATCTCGACAACATGTCACGGGGATTTTGGCTCTAAGCCAATGAATTTGTCAAAAATTGACCACGTGATATTTCGCCAGTTCACGCATTCGCTTCAAAGTGCAAACGGCGGAACGTCAACGCATAAAAAACCCAGGCCAGAACTATACCCGTCTCTTCCTGAAAGGAAGGCCGGGTAATTAACGCGAACTTGAAATAGAGTACTAAAGTGATGACGTCATAATAATGAAATTTCTGAAATTATGAGATTTGTCAGGATATTCTGAAAGAACAATGTCCAAGAGGCCTACTTGCCAAAAATGAGCATTTCGCGGCAAATTGTCTCTGAGATCGTAGCCCAGTTATACTCAGAAAACTCCATACAAACCCTTCTAAATATTTGTAAGCATAACTGGGCTACGATCTCAGAGACAATTTGCCCCCAAATGCTCATTTTTGGCAAGTAGGCCTCTTGGACATTGTTCTTTCAGAATATCCTGACAAATCCCATAATTTCAGAAATTTCATTATCATGACGTCACACTTTAGTACTCTATAGCGACTCGTAGTTCGTACAAGTACAGTATGTGACAGAGACCGGATGTCCGAATTTTTTGGGTTTGTTTATGACAAAGTTAATCAAAAGTCACGTGAAACTACACGTGAAATGTGACGCTAAGAAGGTGAATGAATCCTTAAAAGTAATTCGCGTAACACTACCTGGCTCGTAGATCCGTTCACGTAAACAAAAATAGGTTGAGCACATGGCAAAATTCAACACAAAATGTATAAAAAACGTCTATCAAATATTCACAAATACATAAATTTCCTTTTAAAAACGTAATTTTCTTGAGCACAGTGTACAAAATGTCCCTGAAACTTCTTCAAAAATGTATCTGCTTGATTGCCTTTCAAAATAGGTCAAGCGCTCCGCCGTGAAGAAAACCTCGAATTCCTCGAAGGAAAATTTTGTAAAGAAAAGCCTTCCTTTCCCAACTAAAAGAAAACTGAGCATTCGTTTGAACTTTCCTTTCCAATCTGTCCTTTAACGATAGACTTTTTAACCTTGAAATGCGAAGCTTTGGTCTTGAAAACCACCGCACAGAATGTCTCACTTTTGTCTCACTTCTGAGGATTTTTGTCTACTAGGCCTCACTTCCTCGCTCGGACCACGTCACCCGAACGCATTGACCGGGCGGAATAATGAGGCCTAGCGACGAGACAAGAACAAAACTAAATTTACTGAAATATGCAAATTATCTCCGGTACGAAGTAAAGGAGATAATGACTTTCTACGCGTTAATTCATGGGCACTTACACCTACTTTGGTGATGAGGAATTATGCTTTGTTTCATGGAGGGTATATATTGCAGTTAATGTATTCTGTGAGTCACTTTTGCCCCAGTACGTGTATCAGGCAGACAATTTTTGATTAATAGCACAAGATGCCTGATTTTCCAAGACGCAGTTCTACTGATGATTTTCAGTCTCTGGTTCAAAAGGAGGTAGCAGATTCCATGGCTTCGGTTTCGAGTCAGATATATCCTTTGATTGATATTCGCTTCGACAACTTTAAAAAGCAGTATTCTGAAGTGAATTCTTCGTCAGTAGAGGCGGCAGTTAAACGTGCTAGGCGCGATCGTTACGTTTTTAAAAGTAAAGGCAATGAGCAGCAGTTCGAGCACGCTGAATCGGTTTTGGAAAAGGTCGAAGGTGCGAAGGATGCCCTAAGCGTCAACGCCATTTCCAAGGCAAAGATCACAGCCATCGAAGAAGGTATTGCATTAGTCTCTAAAAGAATGAAACCTATAAAGATCGCAGATAAAAGTCAATACAGTTGGGCGACTGTGCAGGAGTATCTTTCGGACGGGTTGGCTTCTGACTCGATGACGAGAAGAGGCTGTTTCGCTCGGAGAAGATAGCAAAGAGGAAAATTAAAGAGGCGAAGAAGAAGCGTTTGCAGAGGCCGTATCAGAAATATCAGCCTTACCCGTATTCTTATCCCGATCGCCGTACTTCCTAGCCTACCTGTATTCCTAATGAGCAGTCGGATTTAAGGCATCACTTTAAGCGTGGCACAGATGTGCTTTAAGTTAAGTATCAATTTATGATTGATTGTTTCACCTTTTTTAACTAACCTTGTTTACTCTCTGGCTTTTGCCTTGTACATGGAGCAGGCCACATTCTCCATGATGAATATTGCTTCCTTGTTATTTCATTTAGCGTAGAATGCAAATTATCTCCGGTACGAAGTATAGGAGATGACTTTCTACGCGTTAATTCATGGGCACGTTGGTGTTAATACACCTCCTTTGCTGATAAGGAATCGAATTATGCGTTGTTTCATGTAGCGTATATATTGTAGTTAATGTATTCTTTGAGTCACTCTCTCTCCAGTACGTGTACCAGGCAGACAATTTTTCGTTTGTTTACTTTTATTTTGGATCTTTTGATTGCCTTCTCTCCTCCCTTTAGCTTTTAGCGATGGGAATACAGTCACTTGTCGACCAATTGTACCAACAGCAAAAGCGACGATCGCCGGAAATGACTAGACTCGGTCCACGAGCATGATATCGATTGACGCGATGACGATGTCTATAAGTCTTGGATTAACTGCCACGGTTTGGGATCGGCGTTTCCTTTGTCTGAACCGGGCGCTAAAAGTCACTCCGCGCAGTCTTTTGGTTTTTGAAAGGGGAAATTGGAAGCTGCTCCTTTTGTTCTTGATATCATTAAGCAAGGTTATACCTTACCATTTCAAGTACTTCCGCCTCGTTTTTTTTTGTCTAATCATCGTTCTGTGTTCAGAGAAACCCGCTATTTGTTCAGTTCGCGATTCCTGAACTAGTAGAGAGGAAACTGACTTAGGAGCAAAGCTCGCCACCTCATTGCCTGCCAATCCAATAACAGAAAATTGCAGAAGGCAAAAATCTTTGCCTTGTCATAGACTTGCGTGAGGTTAACCAGTATTTGATGAAACCCAAATTTCATTACGAGGACTTGTGATCTTAGGGGTTTTGGTTCTTCACGTTGGACCTTAAGTCGGGTTATCATCATATAGCCATTTTCCAGCCTCATTAGCAGTACTTAGGTTTTGCGTGGGATTTTGACGGGTAACGAGATATTTCACTTTCACTGTTCTCCCATTTGGTTTAAGTACCGCATGCTTTTGCTTCACTAAGTTACTGCGCCCTTTAGTTAAGAGGTGGCGGCTGATTTCCCACAATTTTTTTGTGCATTTGGACGACGTTATTTCGGGTCATCACGACTACGCCTCCGCACTAGTTGCTAGTCTTGCTCATCGCTTGGATTTAACCTCGTCTGGTTTCGTCGCCAACGAAAGTAAATAAACGGGGGAGCCTGTTCAGTTTGGGGAATGGGTGGGGTTTTTGATCAACACTGTTCTATTCACGCTTCAGATTCCGGAATTCAAGCTTGCGAAGCTGAAGAGTTCCCTACAGTCGAAAACCGTAAGAAGCAGGAGCTGTGGTTGATTTTCAAATATGGGACTGTGTGTCCTAGTGGCCTAAATCAAGACTCAAGTTTCACGTGAATCACATTTTTTTGCTTACCCGCCCGCCGGCTCGCGCTATTTATTATGACACGCGCGCGAGAATGCAATCAGGCACGTGAGTTAATTTAACGATCTTTTCAACGGTACTTATTCTTGTACCCTGAAGAAGGCAGCATCGGCGAAACGTCGGTTAAGACTCTTAAAATAACAGCGTCGATTTTACAATTCAAATTAACACTACAAGGAGTTAGTTCGCCTCGCTGGTTTCATTATTTCGCTATCCCTAACAGATGGTCCTACTGGTCGTCTTTTCGCGTGCCAGATGTACTTTTTTATCAAGTCTAGGCCAGCTTGGGATGTCTCGTTTACCGAAGCAGTTTGAATCCTCAGGTGTTTAAGTCACTTAATGCGAGATGGGGGCCCCATAAAATCTTATTTCAGTTTGCGTCTTTTGTCCAAGAGATCCTAGCACTTCCCAAGGTTGTTAGCAACCTCCCATTTAGGTTGAGGTTTCACAGTTTCAGTGTAGGCTCTCCGATTTAGCTGTCATATTCCTCACGTTTTGGTTGAGTTATCAATCTGCCTTACTCGCAGTTTGCTTTTAGTTGGCATCGACACTTAAGGATCAGTTTTGTTTCTGACCTCCCAATTAGGTTGAGGTGCAAGTTTAGTAGTTTTGTATACCCTTCAATTAGATTGAGGTGTTGTGCTTCGTGCTTCGAAGCTTTTTTCTTGTTCCACGGTTATGTAATCGGGTTTTAGTAAGTCGTTATAATTGCAGGCAACCGCTCTTCATTTGTTCGTACTGTGTTCAATGATAACAATGACGATAATAATATGATAATGTTATCAGTGTTTATTGATACACATGGGTGGTTGGTCAGGCTACGACTGATGCGTTGTTTGCTGACTTCTTTTTGTATTGTAACGTAATCCAGGTTGGCGTTTCGAAGGGGGCGAATAAGCTGTACGATCCTAAGTTTTCTGCACGAGTTCCTCAGCTGTTGGATTTAGTCCTACAATCCTGGACAAAAGTCCTTGGCACAGTACTGCAATATTCAGATTTTTCTGTCATTTCTCTGTTCCCTCTTAAAACAGTGCATCCTTTTCGAAATTTTCTTGCAGTTCTCTCTCCCCCACCCTATACAAAGTTGAAACTCGGAAAAAATTCAGGATACAGGCGTCCAACATTGTTTGTGGGGTGACGGGAGGGGTTGGACCTGTGTGAATTACAAAACGCCCCAGAAACGCAAAAGTGTCTCAAGACTTTTGTCCATGATTGTAGCTTCAAATGCAGGTGGAGTCGTTGGGCTCAGTCGAAGCAAGGAGTACCTATTATGCCCGCATGTCCCTTCCACGTTGCATTGCACCTGTTCGAGTTAATTGAAGATACTTTGCAGAAGAAAATCGGTTGTTATGTCATAGATCCGGCGCTTTATGGAATTCGCTTACAAGGTAGCAGGGTTGGAGTCTCCCACACAGCATCCCACGGTTCTTGCAGCTGCCGAAGGAGCTAAGAAGATGTTATCCAGGCCAGTTCAGCCAAAAAAAGCCTTTCACGCAGGAGACTGTCGTAAAGATCGCTCATTTTTATAACACAGCTTCCGCTTCTCTTGCGGACATTTGATTTTTGTTTGTGTATTATTAGTCGGGTATGCTGGACTCCGTATTTCCGAGTTATTTAATGTAAAGGTCAAGGACATATCGATTGGTAGTGCTGCGTGACAATTTTTAGTTTCTCATGGAAGGAATGACGAATTTCGAGAAGGTCATACATCTGTGATAGCCGGGTCTATAGAGAGGTTTCATATCCTGTAGCAATCACGGTAAAAGTTCTTGCGCTGCTTAGAGATTCTGGAGGAATCTTGTCTCTTACTTCCCTTATTTTCAACCTGAAATTCGCTAACCTCAACTTTCCTCGGGTTCGCAAACAAAGCCGCATGGAGAAATTTGGACACATACCATGAACAGAAAAAAATATTTTTCTTTGACTAGAAGATACTTTCAGGCAGGGAGTACCCAACGGAGCCGCTCGACAAAATACCCGCTCTTCAGGCAGAATTTGAGCTAGCTGAAAAAAAAAACATTGGCTAATTAGCTAGCTGGGAAATCTGAATGAGCGCCTCGCTAGCTGAAAATATGAAAAATTTATGCCGGTTCTGGCTGGATAAAAAGGTACATTTTTTCTCCTGGCAATCGCACTGTAATTTTTTATATGGATATTAGAGCGGGCGAAGCAAGTAAGTCCGCGTGAAAATCACCCCCACGCGAGCTGTGGAAATGACACCTTTTGCCTGTGAAAACGGAAATTTGTTTGGGTGTGTAAGCAAAACGTCCTGCTTTGAATACCTTACTATTGTAAAAGATACACGTAGTGAGAAAATGACACAGTTGAGTCAAGCACCGCTCACCGCTTTGTTTTTAGTCGTTTCGCTGCCGATCCTTTATAGAAAACAGTTTTGTGTGTTCGTGTTTTAATATGCCTGTCTACATATCAGCTACTAGCCTACGTTCTACTTTAAACCTGATGTTAAGGCGGCCAAAAGGTAAGCAAAATGGTTGTGTTTCTTTGTCAGGTTGCCGTGTATGTGTATCGAATTGAGAACATTCGCTAATGCACATAAATGCCATCAAATATTGAGACGATTGAATGCAAAAACTCTCTCCAATAAATAATACACTCTGGTCTCTTAGCGGAGTGAACTCAGAACTGATTTCATTCGGTATGNTCGAATCTACAAGAAATGGCAAACTTCAGTGATTACCTGGGAGATTTCAGACTCTAATCTGGTGACTGGGAGAAAAAGTTCAAAATCTGGAGTCCCTGGATTATCTGGGAGAGTTGACAGCTCCGCAAAAAGTTATCCTGGAGCCAGTTTCTTGAAAGTCCTGGTGACTCTTCGGCCTGGGGGGGGCACTTTAGAAATTTCTGGGTGGGGATGTGCCGCTGGGACCCTGGAACCCTTGACCTATACCAGAGCTAGTTCAGCTGAATTTTGCTACCCTATACTAGAGTAAACTCCCAAAATCCCCCTATCCTAGAAAGGCTGTTTCCCCAGTCTAGGTAAAATCTTCAACCAACTGATCAGTTTCCTGAAAAATGATACCCTATTCTAGACCCAAACGCTCTGATTTATATACCCTATCCTAGAGTAAACTGCTTGAAAACCATACCCTTCACAGCGGCACATACCCATATAGCCCATATATGGCAGTACCCCCCCCGGGGTTATAGTAACCGTTGTTTTTAAAAAAGGCAACATCCAAGTGTGCCGTTGCATTTCAATGCTAACGTCTGTGTCGTAAATTGTAGTATAGCGGGGTAAATCCCGAAGGGCTATCATCCCTTGACTTTCATACCAGTATATGTTTTGACGCTGAGGCATTTCTTGCTCTTAAAGCTTTTTATCGTATAAATTGTAAGAGCTCTGTTAGCAAATTTATTCATATGTTCGAACACAGTGACTCAGATTACACTTTTTTGGTGATGTTTCCCGGCTGTAGGACCTCAAATTTGACAGCGGGCGTTACCGGCCATGAGGCTCTTTGGCCAATGTAGAAAAAAAGAATAAAAAACAGTTAACAATTTTATTGCCAAAAAATGAAAGAAAATTAAAAATGTAAACAGTATTTACACATTTTCCTAAAATTGCCGCAAGCAGGGTTTAAACTGGACTATTGAATAAACAAATTAATAGACAACTGTTGTTCTTTTTGTAACCATTTGTCGTGAAGAAGAGGATATTTTTCTTTGGAATTTTTATTTTCTTCTGGTTATCATGAAGTTATTGGCTTAGGGTTGTTTAGAGGCGCAAGCGCGAAGCGCGAGATACGCAGTAGGACGCAGTTACGTCACGTTTGCCGTCTTCAACTCGATTTTTAAACCTACAGAAGAAGGTTTCACCTAAGCTTATATTATTGCCAAAAACTAGAAGAATCTTTCTGTAGCTATATTAAAAACTGAAGTACTGTTGCTGTTCGCAAATTTACTATGACGGTCGCTTCAAGCAAACTGATAAAGGTATTGTTGCGTGTATTTTACTTTGGTGGGTCTCTCTGTACCCAAAGCAAAAAACGCTTGCCTTCCTTGGTGTGATCTTACTTACATTTTTTCCAACTGCGCTTCGATTCTATAACTTATAGACATCACACGACCATCGCATGCACGACATAAGGTTACATGCCTTTATAGGTGATTGTCTGACTGCAAAACAAAACATTCCTGACTTACATACGACTAGTGGCTTTTGCCGCGAAAATTTGCACCAGTTCTGGTGTGAAACTTTTATGGTGATTGCCCGACGAACCACGTACGACTACTGGCTTTTACTGCGAAACTTTGCACCAGTTCTGGTGTGAAACTTTTACGGTGATTGCCTGACTAACCACGTACGACTACTGGCTTTTGCTGCGAAACTTTGCACCAGTTCTGGTGTGAAACTTTTACGGTGATTGCCTGACTGACTACCAACGACTACTGGCAAAACGACGCTTTGAAACGTGGTCAAGACCACACTTTGAAAATGCCACTAACGGACTGACTGATGGATGCTGATGACCGAAAACGACGCTTTGAAAACACCACTAACAGACTGCTGTATCCATTATGGCTTCTCGGCTACAGAAAAAATGATGTGAGTAAGATCAAACCCAGGATGACAAGCTCTTACTTGTGCGGAGAAAGTTACTACAAGAACACGTTATCAGTCTGGCTTTAAAAAGTAAACTGTTGCCATAGCATATTTGAAAACATAGACAGTGTTGTTTTTTTATACCGCAACAGAAAGGTCCTTGTTTGCTGTCGGGCGTTTACGTAAATGACGAAGGAGGAAACCATCCTCCCCACGTTGAAACTCGAGTTAAAGACCGCAAACGTTACCTCATTTTGTGGGTTCGTGGTTTTCAGCCGTAGCGGTTAGAAGTTTCCGACGGAAAGCCTGTTTACTCGAAACTGTCTATCAGTTCTGGTGTAAACTTTTCGCGGAGTAACAGTAGCACGGCATACAATGCTGGCGATGAGCATGTGTCTACAGTGAATTTGGGGTGATTTTGCAGAGGAGACCACACGTAGATCAAGCTTACTTGTTATGTTGTTTATTCTTAAACTTTATTTCGCCTCAGTCGATTATCGTTGGAAAATATGCATTGGTCTTAAGGCTTTGCGGTGATCACTTTTTTACGTGTTATTGTGTTATGGACAAAGTTCGGGATCTTCCTTTTTATCGTTTACCTGGCAAAAACTCAAGACTACTCCTCAAGTCCACATTCCAAAACTGTAAGTACCGCTGAATGTCTTTAGTTGTTACATGTTTTTCTTGGCAATGTGTTAAATGAATTTTCGCTGGCTGGCTCATAACTTGCTTCTGCTACCGCTGGCTGGCAAACACCGAATTCCGTTTCACTCTGGCTGGGATTGCGTAATTTTTGTTTTTTTAACCTTGCTGGCTGGCAAAAAACCGCCAAACATGATTGCTGGCTGGGATTTTTATTTTCTGAAAGTCTTGCTGGCTAGCAGTGAAGAGCGGGTATTTTTTTCCCAGGAAAGTTAAATATTAACATATCAACATACGTTCGTTGGGTACTCCTGACGTTTCACTACTTTTCCCACACTTCGATACTTTCGTTTGGAGGTTGCCTTCAAGAACCAAAGCCAATTCTCAGGTATGTTTTATATGAATGTCTAAATGTGTGATTAAACGAAGACTGAGAAAATTTGGAGCCGTACCACATGAAGAATTATTCCGCAGAAAAGAACTACTAAATTCAAGTTTTTGTCACCGTAAAAACCTGTTCTTCGTTTCTGAATTATGTCAGTTTAACGAGTCTCGATAGCAGCTTTTGGAAACAATATTGCAACGTTGCGTTGCGCTAAAAATTGTCGTAGCGAATCGTCCCGTGTAACATCACCTTTAAGAACAAAAACTAGACGATTTTTGTTTGCACAGACTTAAATCAGGTGGTGCCTTTAACGAAGGCTATAAGCTTAGCGATCCTGAACTGAAGGACAGGCATGCGGGACGGAAAAATCTTTGCACCAAGAAGCGTTACATTAGCGTTCTCAGACCGAAATGCTTGAAAGGCTTTTGCACATGAAAAGAACAAGTTCTAAAGACTACTCAGTTGCCGTCTCAGTCGTAAAAAGAAAGCTTAAGGCGAAAGTCTTGCTTCGAGATGCGTCCAGAAAAAACAAAATTATGTAAAACAGTTTTAAAGGCTTTTTAGAAACAGTTCGGACACACTAATCGTGTAATCTAATTTGTAATCTATATGAAAAGTCTACCGCACATTTCTCGGTGAATGCACTGCACCACCCCTGAAGGCGAACCGCACATTTAAATAAATTATTTGCTGTCCTAGGTCCACGCTCGGAGACCCAGCGGTCGGGATAAACGGCGGCGAAAGTTTTCAAGAACGGGTGAGAGAGCTCCTGGGATGCTGCTCTTACCGAACCAGTTTCACAACTCAATTGAATACTTGTCTCTGATTGGGCAAACGGAGGCCAGCATGTATGACGCTGCTATCATGATCTTCTTATACGAAGGATCCGCAAACTCGACTAAAGACCTATTCAGGTAACTCAATTGGGTCTCCGAGGATGTCCTAGGTCTGTCCTCAAAGAAAACAAATGGTACCTTAGAGAGAATTTTATATCAAACCCTGTGATAATTAAATGTAGAGGCAGCTAATTTACACATAGTTCTTTAGGCAGGAAACGCGGGGTATAGGGGTAAGAGCGGTCTAGTGCGGCCTGGGTTGTTTTTGTCCCTCAAGAGTGATGCCAAAAGCTAGTTGAATTTGTCATTCCTTCTCGTCCTTGTTCCAAACAGTTTTCCTTCGGGTACTCTCACTGTACGTCACGCAGTAAATGTGCTACCACAAATTCATTATTCATTATCTATTTACTCATTTATTAAGACTGATAACTGTATACCTTAGCCCACTTTAAAGGTCAACAACTGTAAAAAAGTTTAAAGAACACGGTACCTCCTTTAAACGTCCAGGTGGTGTTGTGTGATGGTGTTTGCTTCATCGGTGGAATTATCACTGTCACCTTTGATAGTTTGCCCTCAGTATCGTTTGTCTTTCCACTTAGCTAAAAATGAATGTCAAAATATAGATGATCACATTCTTGCTCAGCAGGTAATCGGAAAGAGGCGGTGGAATGTCAAATATCATTTGCTAAAACTTTGTGAAAGATAGCCAAATTCTTCCTGTCCTTTTCAACCTTGTTTTCAGATTTTTCTTAAACATGCAAAAGTATATCCCAACCAAGAATTGTTTTGGAACTCTCTTTCATTCCTGTATGTTTGATATCGCGTCCAAGGGAAGGGGGTGGGGGAAGATAGGATTGAGTTTTAACAATCATGCTCTGTAAGCTCTCAAATTCATTTTACAAGAACCCTTGTTGAGCAGATAATAAAAACAAGCAGCGGAGGACAAGATCTTTGGATGAGAAATCACTTATGTCAAAAATTTAAGCAAAAATGTTTCCCGACTCAAGTTCCTTTACAAGCTAATGGTAAAGCCCCCTCTCTTCCCGCAAAGCAATCCACACTTTGTTTGCTGACACAAAACACACCATTGACCAATCACAACGCAGGATTTTCTAAATGAGCCACAACTTGCAACATCGAAATTTGTTGCGTGACAAGTTGAGAGCGAAGATGTAATACGTGCAACAACCCTTTTCAACTTGCAATGTAACAGTGTTGCGCGACAAGTCGAGCGAAAATGTTGCCCGTATTACTTGACCTGAACTGAAATCAATATAAAATATAAGACATGGATGTGCATGGATGATCATTACTGCATTACTCTCACTTGGACACTAACACAAGTGCAAGTGCAAAAGAACTTTGGCCCTTGTTCAGCTTTGCACTTGCTGGACTGCCATTCCAGTTTAAAGTACAGACAACAGACATGAATTTACATATAACGTTTGAAATTTAAACTTTTAAAAATTTTAGAATGAAAAGCGCGCGCGTGCTCTTAATCGCCTACAACTCTTATACGAAACCTAAGTCAGCCTAAATGATAGCGCTAAAATCTCTGCCTTTGACATGTTTAATTATACCTTAGGATGAACTTGCACTGACGTCTACATGTTGAGACAAGTTCGTTGAGCTTGTTCAGTGTTGCCATGTAAGGCCTACAGATTAAAAAGAACTTCTCTGTAGTACATAGATTACAATGTTTTGTAAGGTTGGTGTAAGGTTTTGCTTTGGCGAGTATTTTCCAAGTGATACCGAATTCTTTATTTGCCTCCTTTAGCTGCCACAGTTGCTTACTCAGCTCAGTCTCATTCCTTCTCTTTTCATGTCTAAATGACATCAGGTGGTTTTTGTATCTTGCCTTGAACTGAGCAGCTGTATGTGAGACTGATGTATGTCTCTTTTTTGTCTCTGATTGTGACCGTGGCTTAGTACACGACTTCACTCATCAGGCATTCCCCGTTTAGTGGGCAGTCTTCTTTCTTCCTACAGCTACACGTTTTCCCTCCGTCTTTCTGTGGTTGAGCTGTTTCTGCTATCTTCAAGATGGCTTTGTTGTGGCCATCTATTATTTCTTTGACGTTGGGCATGCAGCTGTAGCTGAGCTTTACGGTGTTCCTGTTGAAAATTTTCCTCAGTTTGTAGACCGCTGGAAAAGATCTTTCAATAAGGCTGATGAACGCACGTCCGATGTTGGTTTTGATGTTTTTGTTGTATGGTGGATTAAACCATATAACATTTCTTTGTCGTTTGCGTTTCTGTGATGGTCGTTGCTGCGGTGGTGGCTTGAATTGAAGTTTAAATGCATAGCCACTCTTACAAGAAAGCCGAGCTGACTCGCTGACCGACCTCTCCTTCTCTACAGTAACAATTCGAAGCAAAATGACCAGTGCATCGCCAACATATTGTGACTGAATAAGATCAAAGTAAACAATTTGTTTTTCAAAGTTGATTTCTGTTGTGTTTAACTAAGGCGCCGAGATCTCTGCAAAGCGAGCCAGCCCGGCTTATGCAATCCGGCCCTTAATTCCATAGCCAGATTTTACGCGCTCCCCAATGACCTCACCGATTTTTGGAAGCCCCCGAACACACACACAAAATTTCAGCCCCCCTCCCCCCTCTCAACATCTTCATACCTCCTTCTCTGTATTAAATGAACTTTCCCATTATCCACATTCTCTCCATACAAATATTGTCCAAAACAGAAAGCCAAACAACGTTTAAAATAAGTTCAAGTATGTTTTCGACTATTAATAAGATCTTTCACAACCACCACTTCATTTCAACAGACTGTAATTACACCATCCCTTCATAGCCAAATTAGCACTCCCACAACTACCCAACTGCAACACCTAAAATAGCTTTTACCTTCCCAAAAATTAATTCTTATTTCTTCATGTTAAATTTTACGAGAAACCAGACTGATTAACAAACTACAGGCGTTATCTTACCAATCCACGTCCAATATAACTCCACGCCTTCCACTTCACACGTCTCAACCAACCCCTAAATATACAACGCTACCGCACTACTCACACAGCCCTGAAACCCATAAAACACTTCCCACACGCGTTGTAAATTGACGCCCAAATATACACTCCCACGGCGTCTTGTTTTTTAACTTTCCCGTAGGCCGTTCCCTTGGCCAGAAAAATTGTGCGATTTTATTGGCTGCAACTTCGAATCATGTGCAAGTCAGGTTGGGTAGGATGCAAAGTCAAAGTAGCAAGAGAAGAGCTGGAAAGCTGTCGCGCTGATAAGCGAAAATTCAGTAGGAGTTTATTCCTTTATTCCTTTCCTCCAAAAGGTTTTAATCCCAGCAATGTCACGAATGGATCACTACGATGTTACACTTTGAGGCCGTCAAGGAATTTTAAAGGTAAGGTGGTGCTGAGTACATTTGTTCTTTGTGTTATAACCACCCTTCGGACGAAGCTTGTTCGTTGAACTCATCTGAATGTTCAACTGCTCCTTGATTTATATACTTGTCTTTTTTTATCATCTTGAAGATTCAGCAGTTCAGCTGTTTTTGATTTCTTTGTGTTATGTGGAACAATAACAATGGTTAATTGCATAAGAGTCATAGCACTTGGTGTCACTTAATGTTAGCTTCAGTTTGAAAAAAAAAAACGTTAAGAGGATTCAGCGATACGTCGATTCGTTTTTGTTTTCTTGAAACCAATTTTGGTTTTTTTGGGGAGGGTATTTTACCACATTTGATTTCTTGCTGTGTATCTACAGTAAATATCTACAGTGTTTCTTAGTATTGGAATTAATTGTTTAGCATGCTGGAGGAGGTCCCTAAACAACTGTTTCTTGTGATTTCTTTTCCTTCTAGATTTATAAGCACAGGGTGACCCAAACAGGTTTTTTCCTGAAATAAGGATGTAACAAAAACTAACAGAATCATTACACTTGATAGTGGAAATGACAGATTTAACGCTCGAAAAATTTGCTAGCGTGACACAAGCTAGTCGCTTATGATCTCACAAGCATCGATCCGATATCACTATCGAAACCACATAGACGCTTCATTCGTAGTTCACATAAACAAGTCACAGTTTCGAAAACAAGAACTGGAAAAGTTTATTTTGCTGTTTACGATAAAGATTGTCGAAATTTTAAACTCCACAATGACTTCGATCCACGCAAGCATGCGATGTGATAAATAGTCCCGCATATTAACACACAATTAAGTGAATGTTTTGACAATCAGCCAATCAGTCACTACCGAGTTTTCAGATAGTGACGTGACTGGACGGCATTAGCGGCTCGTTGATTCAGACGTCTCTTTCAGGAATTTTGCGACTGGGGGAGATGGCTTAAATTCAGGCTAATATATAAAACAAAATAAAATCACCTTCTTCAATGGACCAGGACCTAAACTTAACTTATAATTATTACTTGTCATGAAGAAGTAACCCTAACAAAGAAAGAGTGCCATACAAGAAAGTTTATGTTGTGGTACTCTTACCCTTATGGAGTAGTTAAATCTGGAACATTCTTTGCTCAAAGAAATGGTACAGTTGTATTCACCCTGCAATTATCAAAATACAATAAACACATTTTTGGAGTCTGTCTATAGTGCGTAACGTGTGAATATGGGACTGCCTGTCCAACAAACATTTTTCCTTAAACGTCAACTCAAACTGGAATGAAATGAGGACTGTCAACACTTTACCCCAGCTAGCCAAAGAACACCTTGTATGGCTAAAACGTGACCCCAAACAGAGTTGTTTCAACTTGTGGTCGATATCTAATATACTTATTCTAAGATTTACTGTAGCTCTGCCATTAATTTTCCCATGTGAATTACGATAATATTTTGTTCTAATTATCTAACTGAGGGAGCCCATTCCTTATAAGCCCGGTGGTATCTCTTGGGCTTCCTCGCCATGAGAGTTTAAGTAATTACATTTTATTTGATTTGTACGATTTTTTGGCAAACAAAACAATAAAACAATAAAACAATCAATTCACCTAAAAAATCCAGCAAATAGATTTTATAACGATCTACAAAATACTTTCTGTAGCTTTGCTCCGTTCCTACCTAGCAGTGATTTTGTTACATCTGCGTCCGCGTCCCTAACGCATAAAAATCCCCAAGACGCAAAATAATTCATGGCATGCGTCCTGTAGAACGCAAAGATTGATTGATCGATCGATCGATCGATCTGATATTTTTGTAGAATATCCTGTTCATGTGATTTCTGTGGCTGTTGTTGTAGCTGTTGTTTAACGACGCATACTTATTTAAGTCTTTTTTGTGCTTCAAACAGAAGGACTATATTTTAATTTCAGTAAACTGTACTAAAGAGTTTTGGAGTCTGTCTTCACATTAACTGTCTGGTTACATAAAGGCCCAAGCATGTTCAATTTAGGACTCGTTTTTTGAACTGGGATTCATTGGCTCTGCACTGGGACTCGTGACTTTTCACCAGATGAGTCCCGAGACTCACCATAACTATTTGTAGCAAAATCACTGCCTAGCCAAACTTCAATGTTCTTACAGTCTGTTAGAAATATTAGTCGACAGTAACAGCCACAATTTCATTGGGTGTACACGAAAAAAATAGTACATAGCGTATTTTACCAGCCTATAAAGTAGGAAGTCACGTTTCTGCTGTTTTAATTTAATATCCATATCATTCAGATAAATGTAAATTATGGCTATACATAGAATTCAGCCCTTTTGAATCAATTTTCCCTCAAATCGTGAAATTAAGGTCTAGAAAACGATCTCTTACATTTTCGCGAAAAAGGAAACAAAATAGTATCACCAGAATCAGCTTAGCTATCTTATTTACCTCGATTAACGTTTGTCCATGACAATCTCCTGGTTTTTGAATATTAAGCCATTTAATGTTAAACATATTGATCTCCCTGCAGTGTTTTTCCAAAGACATCCTCCAGGTTAGATAAATTTCCTTGTCAAAGTACTCAGCTGTGATGTTAACTAATGAACCTGTACAAAATTAAAATATTACTAGCATAAAACTATACAGTCAAAGCACTATTAAGCGACCCTCTGTTCAGTGAAGTAGGCTTAATAGTCAATATCTATTTTTCGAAGTCAATTATCAAATTCCCGAAGCTTACTTCACATATTTAGTGTCATTTTGACCACTACCTAGCAGACAATCTATTAATGCGGTCACCCGGTAGACTTTCTAATTGGCTAACTTTATTGTTTTTCAACTCTATTTAATGATCACCTAGTTGGTTAAAAGTGCGTTGTTTTGACAAGACGGCAAACGAACTGTCCATGAAATGTCCACCTTCTTCAAATAGCTAAAAAAGCATACGTAAAGTCAATTTATTCAAATGAATCGACGAAGCGCGAGTTTTTGAATGGTAAATTTACCACTTTGAACTTAATAACCCACTGAGTGCGTCCATTAGTTATATATTCAAATGAATCAATGAAGCGCGAGATTTGAAAGCTGAATTTAAAAGCTTGTAAAAAATATCTTTGAATGCAGTCTGAACAATATTCGCAAAGGGCCTTGAACAACCTTTGCAACTGTGTAACCGAACCGATAGGGTGACGACAGTATTTTTGTCCCTCTCCCTCTAAGTGAGTTTCGCTTTGAGGCAAATGTAACCCACACCCTCCCCCCGAGGAATATTGTTCACTCCTTGACACTCGCCGAAGTTTCAAATTTGCCACCGCGGTAGTCATCGGAAGATTGCATGTGTGAAGACGCCATTGTTTAAGTCCTTTCAAAAATGACAAAATATGGCCAATTTTACAACAGAAAACAATACCTATTGTTTTCGAATTGGACCCGCTTTTCTTGATACGGAATGAGTACTATTTTGGGCAGATATTCCTGTGGTCACACCCAGTGGGCAACCACAACAAACCTCAAGACTAGGACTTTTCCGCAGTTCATGGTAATGTTTATAAAAAGTTCATAGCTACTGAATCAATCAAGTTGTTCGAACAAACCTCAACAGTTTATAGCGGAAGTTTAATCATTTCTAAGGTACTTTAGGTTGCTGCTAACATAGCTAGTAATAGAATCGTGTTTGACATCTTATTCATAATTTTTTTGGCATACTAGTTCGATGTCCCCGTATCACATGCTAAACTGAAGAAAACTTCTTCTAAGCTGTTCGCCTGGCTATTTCCCAAGGGTGACCACTAAATAGAGGTTACGTTAACCGGATAAGACAAGGGGGAACAAGTTTTGGATGAGCCTACAGCATAATTAAACATTATTATGGGGGAATATCAGACCATTCCAAAAGCAAGCATAATAAAATAGCTAAAGTATAAAAATTAAACAAACAATTACTACGGTCAAACCAAAAAACACAAAACAACTAGCCTGCATAGACGCCGTAATCGTTTTTTATTTTCACAGGCCGCGTGAGGGGAACGCGCGATTTTTCTCCTTTCTCCCTAAAAAAACCGGTGCCTGCTACGCAGGCTACAAAACAACATGCAGTTCTCCCTAGTCATACATACACCCCTATGCACTGACATTTTTATAATCACCATGGAAGTTAGCAAATACTGGCGAATTTTCATGACAAAGATAAAAGAATAAGCAAACTTACAACACTCAGGTGAATTTCTATACTCAGGAAACTGGCATCTGACTACAAACAAAAAGCAACAAATTGTTTTGGTGGATTAATTGATGGTGGGGAACAAGAGCAGTGAATACATAGAATTGGATTGGATTGGATTAAGCATGCCGTGCAAACTACACTCCTAAACAATATATTGAGAATTTACTATATAACAATTATTGAACGAAGCTGAGAATGATTCATCATCATCTTAATAAGGTCGGTAAACCCCGGTTAGGCTACAAACGGCTTGGAAACTAAAATTTCGAGGACTTTTTTTGGACTTCTAACTTTTAGGGCATTAATTTTGCGTCATTTCAGGCCATGGAGCCTAAAAATAAGCCTGGCTTGCCGTAAAACAGGGCAATACGTCCTAGCCAGCATGATCACATGCTGTTTAAGAAAATCCCTCATGCATGTCAGGAAATTCTGTATTTTAAAACCTCCCCTATTAATAATGAAAGAATATTTCAATACGTCTTACTTGAAGGTAAGCTTGGAATCCAAGATGGCGGAACGTGTAGGAACCTAGAACTGTAAGTATGTCGCTCTATTTTAAGGTGGCCCGAACCTATTTAAAAGCGTGTTGGTTATGTTTTTGATTCGCGTTTTTCAGCAGGAATGATTTAACCAATTCCCATGATATTTGGCATCCTTAGTAAAGAATGGTCGAACTTTAAGAAAATGCTATTTATTTTCTTACAGGTGTAAAAACGTTTGAGATATCGGCAGATGTTTAAAACCGCATTTTTACAAAAAAGGTCAATAATTTCAAAACCCTAAGACAGATTTTTCTCTCACTTCGGCAAATAAGCCTCAGAGCTCTCTAGTTTTATATCTGCAAGTTTGAAGTCAATCGTGACCGTAGAACTCGCTGCGCAAATGGCTGGTCAAAGTAAACCTTAAAATGTAACGAAAACACATTTGTGAAAGTTGACGCACAAATAGAGGACAACTGCCGACGGACTATCTCCTATCTGCAAGGGTAGCCAAAGCTTCAGTTGCACGAAATTGAGTAATCAGAAACCTATAGCGCATACAGTTCGTAAAACAAGAACAACAACTTTCTGCTGAATGTGGGGCAAGATTAAATAACTTCTATTTATCAAACTTACTTTGTATTTGTCCCTCTCTTTTCGAAACCTATCTTAACAAGGCAAATTATATTATCTACGAAAGATTCTTAACAGTTTTTAGTGTCGCAGGTTTCCGTTTTCAGGAGAAATAAAGCCACCAGCTCCAGTATGTCGTGGCAAATCTTTCAAAGTTGAATAAATTACCTAATACCGGCGTTACTGAAAGTCAAGAATGATATTCTTATGATTATGGATATGGATCATGTGACACTCCTAGTTCTTTTGGACCTCAGCGCCGCCTTTGATACTGTGAACCATCACATTCTCATTCATAGACTTCAGTCACTGCTCGGCCTACATGGGCCAGCTCTTCAATGGTTTCGATCCTATCTGAGAGGTCGATTGCAACAAGTTACAATTAATGGTGCTATTTCCAAAAAGGTTTGGCTTGGAATGTGGGGTCCATACCTTGGTCCACTGCTTTTTACTATTTATGCTAGCAAACTTTTCAGTGTCATTAAATCTCACCTGCTGTCTGCACACTCGTGCGCAGATGATACTCAATGATACTTGTCGTTTCGCCCATTAGAGAGTACGTGTGAAGCTGAGGCGCTAGATGCTATGGAGAAATGCATCGCTGATGTTCGTTCATGGATGATTAATGATAAGTTGATGTTGAACGATGATACGACTAAGTCTCTGGTGATCGGCACGAACAAGCAGCTATCTAAAGTGTCTGTTAGCAGTATTAGGGTTGGCGACGTTGATGTAATTCCCGTATACTCGGCAAAAAATCTGGGCTCCTGGTTCGAGACGCACATAGATATGGCAACACATATAACAAAGACGTGGCAGTAACCTGAGATCAGGCTCTATTTTCGTTTCGCTTTGAAAATTACATTCCGGCGGGCAAGGGGAAACGAAAAGAGAGCCTGATACAAACCTTCTACGAAACGTCTGCCGCCCACTTTTTTGATTGATTGACATTTGTCTAATCAGCCAACCAAAACTACTTCCGTTGCTTATTTTTCTAGTATGCAAATTTTTCACGCGTGGTGGGAAAAATGCATACTGGCTCACTTCAAAAAAAGCTTTTATCTGTTAATTTTTTCGGCTAAAAATAAAACAGTCAGCACAATCACATTTAACTTCTTGCGAGGTTAAGGGAGATCTCGAAGGTTGTTTCTGTTGGCGTAGAAGGTAAAAAGTTTTCGAAAAGACGGCGACACGATGTTCTACTAGTTTTATTATTTTAGCTAGGCGCGCTCGAATTTAAAATACTGAAATTTCTATTTTTCTGTTGCCATAAATCTTTAAAAACAAAAGCAAACAGCCAACGAGCGAGGACACTCGTTTTCCTGGTTTATTTTTTACAAAAGGCGAAGGCAAACAACCAGTCTGTTACCTTAAGCCACCAGCTTTTATAACAATGCCTACAAAAAATTCCTTGAACAGCGATGCGATATTTTTCGTCTAATACCTTACAGTTGGCGATTGAGGTTTCTTTCGCAGTGAGCCTCCGCTAGCGTACCCCGTTCAGAGAAGTCATTCCCAGCTGAACTTTCAAATGAAACCAGTTTTAAGATGGACAGTATTTTGATTTGCACTCGTTTGTTGGTAAATCAACAAATCGTTTGTGAGCGGTCAACAACTTGCAGAGGGATTCAACTCCGCGATACACTCACATTAGTTCCGTAAATAAAGCAAATCCTGAGAAGATATGAACAACCATATGAATTTTCTGAATTTCCATGGCACATATTAAGGCATATTTTCCTACCATAGGACCATAAAACAATAAAAAAGACAGCAAAATCGACCCTTCTGTCCGCCGATGGCCGATCATTCACGAAAAA